GTGTCTTTTTTCCCTTCTTGAAGATTGGGACAACATTTGCTCTTTTCCAGTCTTCCGGCACAACATCAGTACTCCAGGAGATCTCAAAGATTAGAGCCAGAGGCTCTGAAATAACATCTGCAATTTCTTTTAGCACCCTGGGATGCAAGCCATCTGGCCGTGGAGATTTGAAAGTATTTAAGGCAGCTAGATGCTCTCTAACCATTTCCTTACTTACTCTGGACTGGCAGTTTCTCCTTTCTTCATATGCCCTGCATTCTTCAGTTTGCATACAACTCACCTTACGGTTAAAGACTGACGCAAAGTGAGAGTTGAGTAATTCCGCTTTGTCTTCATCCCTTGTTAAGGCTTGACCGTCTTCCCCTAGCAGTGAGCTTACTCCATCTCTGTTCTTTTTGCTCCGAACTTAGGCATAGATTTTTTTGTTGTTTTTAGCATCCCTCGCAAGCCTCAGCTTCATCTGCGTTTTAGCCTTTCTGACACCATCCCTACAGATTCGAACCTGCATCTTATACTCACCCTCAGTAATCTGACCCTCCTTCCATTTCCTGTACATTCCCCTTTTTAGTCTCAGCTCTTCAGAGAGTTCCTTGTTCAGCCAATTTGGCTTCATTACCCATCTCCCACCTTTCTTTCTTACCGGAACAGTTTGTGATTGTGCCTTAAGCACTTCATTTTTCAGCATCACCCTTCTTGTGCAGATTTCCCCCTCAGTATTTCCAGCCATGGAATCCTACCTAATATTTCTCTACCTAATATTGAAGCTACCTTATATTTCTACTTAAATGGCACTCGAGGCCTTTTAAAGTTCAAAAGTAACAAAATCTTTAAGATGAGAGGCCTTTGTTTCAGTGTTTCCCAAACACTCCAGTATACTTTATTGAGTGTATTTGGCTCTTTTGGTTTCCAGAAGGCAGGGATACTCTGTCCAGTATCCAGACTTCTTCACTAAAACACACCGGTACTCTTCTTCAGTTTTGACTCCTCAGGATTTAAAAGGTAGTTTCTAAACAAAACAGAACAGGGATCTCTCCACTGATCACAGCTATCTCCCTATTCTAACTGGGTAGGGAATTTCTTCTCTCACTAGAAGACCTATCCCCTTTTCTTGGCCCAAATGGGAGTCTTCACCTAACTACTCACTCCTCCTGCCAACCTTCCCAGTACTCCCTGGATTCAGACTTGTCAGTACTAGACTCTTCTCATTCAGGGCTGAATTCAGACTCTCCTCAGCATTCAGCTCTCAAGTCTTTCTTTGCTCAACTCATGCTAACAAATCAGATTCCATAGAGCAGCCTGTTACTTAGGGACTCTGGGGAATGAACCCTTCACAGTTCATTACCGGTTTACACAGTACTTATAGGATTTTAAAATGCAGTCCATCACACCTGTCTTTAAAAATATCTCCAAAGCTCAGTGGTACAAAATGCAGTGGCAAGCAATGCTCCCTCTAAGCTGTGGAGTCTTGTAAGTAAAAATTCTACTTTATAAGCAACTAGCATTAAAGTTGTGAGCAAGCAATTTGGCTACTGCATAAATTAGTTTGATCTGGAGTCATCCTTCCTGAGCTCAGACAAAAATGTGTGAGCCATTTTGTGTGAGCCAGAGGCTTAGAAACTGTGAGCTAGCTCACACTAACACAGCTGAGAGGAAACACTGGTGGCAAGGCTCCTTTCTGGGGTCTGCTGCTCAGAACACATAACTTCAGTGCTGTGTCACACTGCACTGGCTACCTATTTGCTTCTGGGCCCAATTCAAAGTGATGGTTTTTACTTCTAAACCCTTCATGGCGTAGGGGCCTTCATATTTATTGACCCACATCACTCAGTATAGAAACTAACCCACATCCCTTGCGCCAGTTATGTTCTTCAGAAAGCCTCATAATTTTTGTATTTTGTAATCCACCTTGTCTCAGCAAGAAAAACATTAAGGAGAACAAAGGCTGAAGCTACATGCCACGGAGGAGATCAGAGCCTCCAACTGTTAGCTGGAATCCACTGGTACCACCCCCCCCAAGCTACACACATGCTCCTTTAGGGGAATTACAACAGGTTTAGCCTTGCCTGGACTGTGGCCTCAATTTACCAGCCTTCAGCCATACCACTATCTTCTCCAAGCACCTGGTTCAGGACTTCCACAGACCCACCCAACTCAGCTATGAAGAAGAAGGAGAACTGAGTGCCAGTGATGGAAGGCAGACATTTTTCCACCCCACATATGTAAATATAGCCTGTTTATAGTATACATGACTGTTGTGTTGCAAATTCATCATATTAGATGAGCTAAATGTATGATATGAAACATGGACAAACCCCATTGCTTGAATATGGTATATTTGCTTTCATTTGCTATTTAAATTGATTAACTCTGAATTGGAATTCCCCCCCCAGAAAACTCACATCATTGTAAGCACCACACTCCAAACCCTCAGATGATCTCTCCCAACAGCAGTTCCCTATCATCACTTTTTGGAATCAGCCACCCAAGTCAGAATGGAAAAGGACTAACCCCCTATTACCAACTCTGTTTCATCAGAAGGATACCATGGTTAATGGTATCATAAGCTGCCAGGTGATCCAAAAAATGAGCAGGTACATGCTCTTGCTATCACTCTCCTGGTGATGATCAGGGTGATCAAAGAAGTTTCTGCCCAAGCCAAGACCAGACTGAAACAGGACTAGATAATTAATCGGCAAGCCCCCTGAAACTGTGTCGCCAACCACCCTCTTCTGTGCTTTGCCCAAGAATGAGGTGCTGACCATTGGGGAATAGCTGTTTATGCCACTCATGTCTATGGATGCCTTCTTCAGAAGAGGTTTCATGACTGATTCCAAAGCAGAGAGGAACTTATTCCTTCCCAGATCCACTTAAACAACCAACACCGATTGATACTATTGGCTCCAAAGGCAGGGGTCAAGTTTAGATGTTGTGGTCCAGAGATTTCTAAGCTGCTTCTCTACTACAATCAGGACTGACAAAGCCATACCGCTACAGCTGGGGTCACACTGTGATCCAACAGCATCTTGAGATTGAACTGAACCAACTATGGCATCTATCATAGAGGAAAGCTATTTTATCTGCAAAATGCATCACAAAAATCACCCAACAGGCACATAAATGTTCTGGGTGTACATCTTAAAAAGCCTGGGATAAATGTCCTCTCATAACCTGGAAAAGCTCAATCAGACGGCACTGCACAGGCGCAAAAGTGGCAGAGAAGTTGGGCTTGCATCAGCACCATAGGATAGACATAACAATGAGCTCTCACTCATGTTCAGTTCTACTTACCTCAAGCCTTTCTCCACTTATGATTTATTTACTAAGTGAAACAGCTTTGTAAATTAATATTTACATCTGTGGTAGTGTAAATATTTTGATATATGGAAGCTAACCATGGTAACTGGAGCATTTTGGTAAGAGGCATCTGCTTTAAATACATTAGTTTCAGGAACATAAAAATCCTTTGGAACGTACCAGCTCTGTGGGTTCATCCTCCTCAACTTCAGCTTCATCATCTTCATCTTCAACTACTGTATCTTCCATTGTTTCCATTGTTTCCTCATCTTCTGTGGCATCTTGAGCAGCTACTAGCAAGCTAGAACCTACAGAAAGATCAAAAGGAAAATTGAACAGATATTGGTTAGAATTATGACTTACAAGAAAGGGGACCCGCGAAAATCGCGGGGGGAGGAGCGGGGGAGCTCCGCACACCTTGAATAAGCCTTTGTTGGGCTTAAAGGTGCCGCTGGAGTCAAAGCCTAAGGTTAAAAAAAAGGAACAGAAAGAAAAACATCACCTGGAGAAGTGAGGGGGCCCCCTCATCCCGCTCCTCACCCAGGTGCTGAGAAGAACCTCGCCTTGGAGGGATGGTCGCCTCTGGCTTCCGGGGAGGGTAGGTGTATTGCGAAATTTCCCTCCTGCTGGGCATGTGCAGAGGCGGCTGAGGGACGCTCGTGGCCGCCAGAGGCCTCTGGGCAAGCCCACCCTCTTCCCCCGCCGCCAGCCGTGCTCTCTTCTGCCATGGGAAGGTGGCGGGGCGGCCTTGGCTCGATGACGCAAAGCAGAAGCCTCCGGGCGGGGGCGGGGCTTTTAGCCGACAGACTGAGGGGAAGCCGCGGTGAGAGAGCGGCGAGCGGCCCCAGCCAGGCCCAGTTTGGCCCCCTGCCAGTGCTGCGCCAAGCAGATAGGCGGCTAAGGAAGTGGCAGCTCCCTTGAGGTGAAACGGCCTCCTCCAACCCCCTCCCCCCCAGCCCCCAGCAACGTTTCAAGAGGATTTTTGCCATTGACTTCAATGGCCCCATTGGTTATAATGGACCCGAATTTTTCGGGTTTTCCGAAAACTTTTGGATATCTATGCTTTACCGATATAGATATTCGTTTTTTTCGGGTTTGCCGAAAAAATTCGGGTTTAATAAACCCAAATCCGAATTTTACCGAATTTTTTTTTCACACCCCTAGTGTGCACAAAAATCCCCCTCCCCCCAGGTGCCCCCGATGTGCAGAAATAAGTATCCGCACACCAGGGGGCCACTTGGCTATTAGATATATAGATTTACATTTGAAAGCTTGAATTCAAAGGCACTGTTCTGCCAAAAGAACAAGTTGAGAGGATTTTTGCCCTTGTTGCGTTACGGCCAAACCACCCACCATGCTGTTCCCAAGGATCCTGTCAGACAGCAGCAACAACATTTAGGGGAGGGGGAGAAAACTCAAAGAAAGTTTTTTCTCTGGTGTAAATTACTTATCCTAGCAGAACATAACCGTTCTGCTTTAATTGCAATTACTAAGTAGTCAGTTTAGATAAACGCAAGTAACTTTTCAATGGGAGGCATAAGTGTACACACAACATAAAAGCATAAATATACTGATTCAGATGATCCATTTATTTTTCATAGGTTCTTTATTGTGGAAGGTCAGAATACAAAGGATCCACTGTTTCCTTTATAAAAGAAAGTTACTGACAAGATGTATATAGCACAGTTACACTAGATACTATATAAACTGAACAAAAGAATAAGCCCCTGCTGTGAGCTGGCAATCTAATGCAAGAGGGAGAAAAATATCAAAAGACAAAATGCCTCTCTCCCCATCCCCAACCCCCAATAAAGGATCAGCTGAAGTAAATAACCAAGCAGGATACCCCAGCAGAGCTAGGACTGGTAGACCACCCCCAAAAAAGAGAGAAAAGAGACTAAAATGGCAGGAAAAGAGACTGAAAAGAGTATAAGAGACCATGTCACCAAGTGTTCCATATGGTTCAAATATTTGATGCTCACATGTTTTCGCACTAAACATTCTGATAAACATATGTATAAAAATATATATTAAGAGACCCACTCCTGGGCCTGCCCCAGCTGCCCAGAAATCCATTTGCCAATTAAACAGTAAGAAAGTGTTCCTGGCCCTCTGGCAAGAAGTGAAGCAACTTACATCCCCTTCCCCAAGCTCTGACTTATGCAGCTGTCTGAAAGAGATAAGAAATAGTGCCATGCACTCTGCTGCTCCTTATCTTCACCACAGATCAGTGCAAATAAGAGAAATCCCTGCCTGAGTACTATGCCACGGTAGTTAATGTAAACAAATTCTGGCCAGTATAACAAACTACATTTCTGGACCCCAGAAAATAGTGTGTTTGATACTTAACCATGTTTATTCAGAAATGAAGTCCACTGATACTTAACCATGTTTATTCAGAAATGAAGTCCACTGATTTCAGTGGGACTTAATTCTACAAATGCACAGGACTGAAGCCTTAGTCTATGTTGATAACTCTGAAATTGTGATGTAGTCCAGTAACACATGTTTTCAACATACAGACCAACTGACAATTTAAAATTTACTTCAGTCACTCTATTACCCTACTTACATCTTAAACATACAAGAGAGAAAAAACAGAACACACATAGGAATGTGTAGTATTTTGGCACATAATCTCCCACTTAAAAGATATTTAATACCATTCGACATTTCAAGACTCAGTTGGTGGGCATTCTCCCTCCCTGTAATCATATAATATAAAAAGGAAATGTCATTGGATGCAACAACTACCCATGCCAACTACAATTCTGGAGATGTTATCCTGCAAGTATGTGCATTCATTGTTAACTGCCAATCTGCTCATGCCTGTTGTATGGACTTACTTGCAACTGCTATATGTAAACTATAGACATGTAGCAACCGGGGGGTGGGGGGAATGAGGACTTAGCTGCTGAACTTGAGAATTCAGGAGACAATTGCAGTGATGAGCATAAAAAATAGGCTGAATAAAATATTAAATGTTAGGTTGTGAAATGACCATTGGTTACTCACTGTGAAGAGTCCTGCTCCTCTGAGGCTTGGAGGATATCTTGTGGGTGATTCCCATCCATCACTTAGAGAGGCAGGACTAATTTCAATTACTTCCTGTTTCCTGTAGTGGGGGTCACCCTAGGCTCAGTTCTGGTGCTCCAAAAGCAATACACTAACTTAACCACTGTAAAAAAGAGAACTTGAACATCAACAAGAGTATAGCCAAATCACAAACATTGGAACAGGAAGAAAAGGTGAGTCCTTACGTGAGTCTCACGTACTCTTATTATTATTTTTAAATAGAGTGTGAAAGAACAGCATAGTAGATAGAGGAAATGACGACCCGAGAGGGCCAAGATGTCCTCCAAGCCTCAGAGGAGAAGGACCCTTCACGGTGAGTAATCAATGGTCATTCTCCCTCTGAGGTGGAGGACATCTTGTGGGACCTCCTAGAGCAGTGTCCCTAATTTTTGGGAGGGTGGTCGTCATCAAGAGTTAGAACAGACTGCAGCACTCTCCGTCCGAATGCATATCTTGTAATGCCTGATGAATGTGGATAACGAAGACCACGTAGCAGTCCTGCAGACTTCCTCCACCGATGCCCTGTTGGCAAAGGCCATATTCGTTGCAACACTGAAAAGAGAGTGGGCCGTGATACCTGCAGGAACTCGTTTCATACTCCTGTAGGCTACAGTAATGCAGGACCTCATAGTGTTGCTTATGGCAGAGAGTTAGACATCTTTCTCCCTGTGTGAAGAGGAAAAATGTTAACAAACATATCTTTCGTCCATCTGAAAGAGGCCATTCTGAGAATATAGCATTTGAGTGCTCTCCTCACATCCGGTGTACGCCAAACTTTTTCCTCCAGATGGGTTGAATTTGGAGAAATTATGGCAAACAAAGCTCTCATGATCTGTGAAACTTAGTACTGACCTTTGGGCAAAAAAAAGGTGGAATCTGTTCTCAGAACTACCTTGTCTTTGTGAAAAACACAGCTCCAACTGAATTGACAGAGTGCCTAGTTCCAAAATCCTCCTGGCTGAAGTAATGGCCAGCAGGAACAAAGTT